CAATGGGCTCAAGCGTAGCAACAATTGTAAGGTTGGATCAGGACCAAGCAATGTTTTGTTCTGTTGTGCATAGGGTCGCTATGAGTCAGTACTGACTCAATGGCACCTAACAACAACAACAACTTGGACTGGAACCAACTTGACAACACTTAACAATGACAACAACATATTTTAAACTATTCAATTTTAAAGGAAAATAGTGATTTCCTGCCAACATTTCCTATCCCCAGACTCTAAAAGGTGTAACCAACCACTTTCAACACTTTTGACTCCTCTTTCTGACACTTGCCTCCATATGTTGAATTGTTATTATTTCTTGGGTTTTTTTACTTCAAACATTCTCTTTTTTCATTTTTACTATGAAAGATGCACCAAGAGGCACTAATTTAAATACAACAAGTGGATACAACATGGTTTAAAATCAGGAAAACTGGACATCAGGGTTTTATCCTTTTACCGCATTTATTCAACCTACATTCTGAACAGATAATCCAAGAAGTTCCACTATGTGAAGAAGAACATGACCTCAGGATTGTAATGAGACTCACCCAGAGATACACAAATGACCCAACCTTATTTGCTAAAAACAAACAGGACTTGAAGCACTTACTGATGAAGATCCAAGACTACATACAGCCTTCAATATGCCTCCATATTGTTTTTTTCAGTTGCCTCATAATACTTTCAATTGCCTCATAGTCATACCAAAGGTGGGCAATAATAAGAAAGAAAGAAGAGAAACTGATACCTTTGAATTGGGATGTTGGCAATGAATACTGAATATATTCCTGGTGTGGCACTATAGAATCAGCACTGGACTGTGAGTCACAAGGTCAATAATTAAACCCACCAGCTGCTTCACGGAAAACCTCTAGAGGGTCACTATGAGTCCGAAACAGTTTGATGGTACTTAGTAACAACAACAGAAGAAGAATGACAAATCTGTTTTGGAAGAAGTACACCCAGAATACTCCTTACAAACAAGAACGGCAAGCCTTCACCTCACATACTGTAGCTGAGTTATCAGAAGGAATCAGTCCTTGGAGAAATACATCTGAGGAAAAGAGGAAGACTTGAGCAAGAAGGATCAACACAATGACTGCCAACAGTGGCTGAAACAATAGGATGGCACACAATAAGACCATGTTTCCTTTTTTTTTTTAAGGTTTTTACTGTGGATTGAGTGAAAGTTTACAGAGCAGATCATAACAAATCATGCACCTTGTTTCATTACAATGATTATAATCCCCTCCATGTACCATCAGTTAACAGTATTTCTCTCTATTCATTTTAGCTTTTTTTTTTTTTTAAGAAACAAAACAAAAACACTCTGCCTCCTAGCCACCAGCTCTTAGTCCCTCTCTTCCCATGAATCTAGAGTCCTCAGCTGCTTCCGCTCTCTGTCCCCATCTCTGCCTCCATCTCTGGC